CTTTTACAAAGGGCCTCTTTGTCAGATGTTTTGTTGCTGAAGTTCCCGGTTCAGCCTATTATTGCTGCATATTCTTGAAAACGAAATCGATGATTCAGATGTATGTGTGACTGCAGAAGAAAACCCTTCCATTTCTGTTGCTGTAGGACTTCATTGCAATTAGCTTGCTGAACTTGATTTTCTCTTCCAACTGTTGTGATTGCTCTGTACATCCTATAAATAATTTACCCCTGATGGTACTAAACAAGTACTTTAATGGCACCTCTGGCTCCACATGATATCAAGGACATTAATAATTCATCATTTATTGCAGCCACATCTCTGTAGATTAGCATGAGTGGGAATTGAGTTTATAACATTGAGATCAGGCCATCTGAGAGACCTTTACTCCTCTGTCATCATATCTATAAATATTCAGATATCAGTGGTGTTAGAAAATAAAGGAAAGACTATTACAAAGCTAGACTTTAGGTTAAGTTTATTAAGCATTAGATTTACAGCCTGGGCAACATAGGGAGACCCCATTTCTGCAAAACAGAAAAAATTAGCTGGGCTTGGTGGCATTTGCCTGTGGTCTCAGCTACAAGGAGGCTAAGGTAGGAGGATTGCTTGAGCCTGGGAGGTCAAGGCTGCAGTGAGGTGTGATCTCACCACTGCATTTCCGCCTAGGCAATAGAGCATTAGATTACTTCAAGTTCTTAAGTACATTTTAGGGATATTTGAAAGAGAGTTCTCCATTTCAGGACTCTTGCTTTTTTAAAAAAATTATGCAAACCACCTGGAATTAATGGGCATTGGGAAGAATAGTGAGACCAATTTTTAAAATCATCCAAATCCATATTCTAAGAGTTTTAAATTTGATATTTGAAGTCTTCATTTATTTATTTATTTTTAATTTTTTAACTTTTTTTGGGATGGAGTCTAGCTCTGTCACCCAGACTGGAGTGCAGTGGCACGATCGTAGCTCACTGCAACCTCCACTTCCTGGATTGAAGCAATTCTGCCTCAGCCTCCCGAGTAGCTAGGATTAAAGGTGCCTGCCACCATGCCTGGCTTTTTTTTTTTTTTGAGCTGGAGTCTTGCTCTGTCGCCCAGGCTGGAGTGCAGTGGCACT